CGTTGTGTTAAAATGGTCAAGCACCCTCGAGGCAGTTACACAGTGCTTACAACTGTCTCTGGAAGTGAAAGCACCAGAAAATAAATTAATTCATACGCAGCTGTCATCCGTACGCAAGGAAGTAAGCGCAAGATGCCGAAAACCCTTAGCAGGATGCAGCGCACCCTTCATGCGACTCGCCGGATATCTCACGGCGCTTCGCGCTTGGTGATGTGAGAGCCTGGTCCGGTGAGAACCCGACGTGCTCCGTCCCGGCTTTGTAGGGATGCGAGGTCAATGGTCTAACGACTACGGCATGCACGACTATGAGTACACCCCCCGCCCCCCCCGTACTTGAACAGTGGCCTCTTCAAATTGTTGTCACATAAAAAAAACGTTTCGATCTCTCTACCCAGCCTTCATAACCGTCCGTACTGACCCAATATCCCAATACTTGACGCGGTCGATTCCCGTGGTCACAGGCTAACTTACCCTTTAAAGGTACACTCAAATAAAATCGACCCGAGGGGTCCGCAAGCCAATTGATATCAACCACAGGTACTGCTGTAGTCTGGAGCCCTCCGCTGCTCCCTCTCTCTGTGCGCGTGTGTGATTTCGTCTCTACTATTAATTAATTATGGCGGCAGTCCCTCCATATTTCGTGGTGACATGTGTACTACATATTTCGTGTGTTGTTGTTGTTATATTTCGTGTGTATGTATGCATGTAGTACACGTTTTCGGTGCATTTTTGCGCACAACTATAGCCATCCAGGGCACACATGAGGGGGTAAAGACGCTGACAATGTCTCTCTAGCTACATGCTAGGTAAGACCTAGAACTGGGAGTCAGCATCACGGGGCGGAGACAGAGAGAGAGAGGTACATACCCTGGTTCAACCTTGGTATGTCTGCTGTGTGGGCTGTGTGCAGTCTGCTCGGTTGTGGGCTGTGTGGTCTGTGGTGGTGTTCTGTGGAGCAAGTCTTTGTTCACTGCTGTATTTCTGTGTGTCTTGGTTCGCTGCCTGGTTCTGGGTTTGTAGCGGGTTGGTTCTGGAGGCGTTTTCCATCCTGCAGCTTTTCGTTGCAAGACCATCCTGCAAATAGGGTCTGGGAGGGTGTGTGTGTGGGATATCGCTGTGCCCGCTTCGCTTCTGCGACCCTCGGGTTTCCTCGGGTGCGTGCCACGCAACAAGCCCTCCGTCTGCACGAAGGGCGATCATATCGCTGCCCTTGGCGACGTTGAGGGAGCTCCAGAAGCTCGCAGCACTCAAAGCAAAGGGTGTGATCCTTGAACGACAGGACGAGGTGATCAAGAAACATGTGAAGGAGGGCAACTCCCTCTCGAGCGAAGACTGGGAGGCCTTCGATTTGGCGTGGTACCTGAGGAGCAGCGGCGTGTTCTCGGGAGAAGAGTGGACCACGCAGTTTGATGGAGACATCTCGGGCATCATTAAAAGCGCTCGCCCTACACTGTCAGACGACGCGGCAGCGTCGTCTGCGTCCGGAAAGCGGTCAGCAGACGGTTGAGGGCGAGGGGGACCACAGCGGCGAGGGAGTGAGGGCGATTCTAGCGAAGACACTCGTGGTAAATTGGATGCCCACCAGTATTTTTCACTCCCCTCTGCTTGGTTGTTGTTGCGTTTCCTGTTGCTGTTGCTTTTGCCCTTGCCTTTGCCGTTCAACATATATGTTTGCGTAGATGACAAGAGTAAACCGGCCAATTAACGAACGCTTAAGCCACCCCTCGC